TTTTTGATTATAAATCTAGGAGAGTCCTTTACGGAAAATGCACGCATCATCCAACTACAGTTAGCACTCCTGCAACGCAGAATATATCGAGTTGTATCACTCTTTTCTGTCTTTGTTTCGAAGCAACCAGCAATGGCTACCTCTGTCATTTTCCGCTTTAGATCAGCCTTGCAGGCAAACTCATACCCAACACACAGGTCTGAGCCGTCGCCAAATGTTCCATCCGACCCACCTTCGCCATCTACTTCACCGACAGGAAAATCAAAATCATCTGGAAATCGAGTGTAGTGTCCAACCTCTACACCAACATGCTCTTGTGTAGTATTTTTAATTTCAACCTCCACATCAACTTTTTCCTGCGTACTCTTGGGAACCTCTACCTCAACCTCATGATTAGGTTGGGGAGAGTTAGGAGTGCAGTTGGATCCTATGCAATGGAATGTCTCCACATTCGCATTTGGTTCATCATTAAGTACAACCCCATCATGTCCATGCCTTGATCAGTTGCAATCAAAATATTCATCATGGAAGACACAATCATGTTTTTTGCCATTTTGATCTTCCTTTTCGTTTTCATCAATTGCATGTTGTTGCTTGACAGTTTCATTTTCAAGCTCTCTTTCCTCGATTTCAGTCACCACAACATATAAGCATGTAGAATGTACATCTTTATCCCTCAGGAAACAACCCAACGCCTTATCACTGGTAATTATGACAGGTGGCAATTCCCTACCGAACCGAGAAGATTGGTACGAAACCTGAAGTTGATGCTTACTTTGTTGCAATCCAAAGTCCCGATAAATACACATGAGAAGCGCATTGAAGTCTTCATTACTTCTTTCCCACTTGATCACTTGTGTCTTACTTTGCTTGTTTCGTTTAAACTGGATTTCGCTTTTCTCATTTTCAACCCAATCACCACCACAATGAATGAACAGAGATAGAAGAGCGCGAGTGTCCATCTGCCTGCAAAAGTGAAATTAAAGATGTAATCGCCTTATTACGGGTCTTCCCTTATTACTGTGAACTTCGACACAATCATAATTCAGAATGTATAATTCAGAATGTGATTGATGAAATTACATGGAAAATTGTCAACATAGACTCCAGAAAATCTAGATATACAAGTCGATCAAATAGCTATTATGTCGACTAAATCAGATACTGTGGAATTATACATGTAATCGTCTTATTTCGGTCGACTTAATAAACAAAAATAAAGAATCCAGAATAAAATAAATCATTATAATGTCGACCTAATAAACCAACTTCATCATGTCGACCCTATGTTTCGACTTTAGAAATCATTGATAATGTCGACTTTTAAATACACAGTAAAAAACAGATATATGTCGACTCTTCTTCGGCTATAGTTAATTATACAATCCTTACTGTAAAATTAGATGAATGTGTACCTACGTTGAAAGAGTCTTTCACCGATTAGTGGAAACAAACAAAAGACGGCGAACTGGGGACAAAACAGCGAACAGCGGGACAACTGGGAACAAACAGGAAGCGAAAAATGGGAAACATCTAACAACAGCGGCGACAGCTGATAGGCATCAGAGTATGCAATCGATTGGAATAGAAAACGATGAAAATGGCGCGCCGCCGCAACGAGAATAACGAATTGCTTTTCTAGGGTAAAAACGACGCTCTGCTGCTGCAACGGTATGATAACGATAACGTAGCAATTACGGCTTAGGGGATAAAGATAAGAGAGTAATTTCACTTTGATAGAAAGGGTAGGTTAATAAATAAAATCCATTTTAGGGTAGAGTGATAAATTCCTTTCGTTTTCAGGGCATTTTGAAAAAGCACCCGAGTTTGGTACCCTCTAAAATAATGCTCTTTTTCCGTTAAAAGTTTATGTACTTTGTGCTGTGTAACTTGTACCTCGTTTCTTTTTGCCGATTGTACCCTAGCGGCGTTATACTCTTTCTCTGAGTAGCCGATTCGGCGCAGGTACTGGTCCTCGCCAATTTTTGGTGCAATTGTTTGATGCAATTAAATTAATTTATTTATGATAATAACTATCATTCCGGTTCCGCATATGATTGATCAGACTAATGCAGGGATATGTAACATTGCTCCAGTAGGTTCTCTGATTCCCATAGAGCTAAAATGTTGTTATGGTCTTTGATCTTCTTCGCACATTGTTACAGTACTTTTTATTCACTAAGATCGTTTATTAATTTCCGCAATTGTGGATTTAAACTTAACCACTCATGAACTTGATCATCAAATTAGTGAGTTGAACTTTCTGGTTCTACTGGATTGAGTGATACCCTACCAAAAAAATTAGGTGTGTTTCTTTCCAGATTTCCATTTTTTTTCTCAATTGTTGTTGGTTACATCGAATTTGATATCTCTCGTGCATGATTGATGGATACACCAAATTTGATATCTCTCGTGCATGGTTGATGGATACACTAAATTTGATATCTCTGGTGTGTGTATTAATCTAACCGTGTTTGTTTGTTTGTAGTCTGCGCATTCTAAGGCAGGCTGAGCTTTGCTGGGGAAGGTTGATCAAAGAGGTTTGAAATTTTCATGGAGTTTTGGGTTTTGGTGGTTTTAGGCTTGCTTATTTTCCTAAATTTCGTGGTTTTAGATTTTATAAACAAAGTAAAACTAGTGGTATGCTATGAAATGTTAGCTTTGTTGCTTGTTTCCCAAATTTCAAACCCTCTCTGCGTAATTGATGATGGGTTTTACACGATTTGATATCTGTTGTGTCCATATAAATCTATATACATGTCTATTATTCTTAATCTGGCTATTCAAGTTTTTGGATTGTTGTGTTTTAAGGATTGTTTTTATTCTTCTTAATTTTGCAGCAGTATTGGTTTAACAAAAACTCTTTTAAACAGTAATACTGGTAGTGTGCTCTACTTACTTTTGATGTATTCCTTCACATTATTGCTAATTTGCTATAGCATTCCCATTTTTTTAATTAAAGTGCAGATAAAACTATTATTACCATGAAGACCCATTTAGAAAGTCTCTTTGGATTTTTTTGTGACTAACCCCTTGTCCTCTATATGAGTTTTAGTATCTCAATATGTAGCCTCATGTACCAATTAATGTCTTGCAAAGATATGTGTTTTTGTCTTCAACATAAAATGCCTTGGTGTGAGAATATGAGATTGTAGTATTTTTAGATGGTAACTTTGATTTTTCAAAAAAGATTGTATGGTTGAGAGGATTAAATAGTTGGATTTTCAGTCCACTTTGCCCTTTCGCTGTTTAAACTCCGCCTCCTTTTATTTGTTGGACACTACGCTTCCACCACCACACAAATTGCAGATCTTCGCAAAACGAAGATCGTGACAGGGATCACAATCACCCTAGAATACCATCGACAATGTGAAGGTCGCCGATTAAAACATCCAGAAGGAGTACGCCCTCAACTCGGTCCTTCTCTGTGGCAACAATAAGAAGCTCAAGAAGAAGACATACATCAAGCGGAAGAAGTTCAAGCACAAGAAGGTCAGGCTTGCCATTTTTCTGTGTCCCACGGTTGATGAATCTTGAAGGAATGCCCCAACGGTGGGTGTCGTGCTGGAACCTCATGGCCAACTACTTTGGTTGGCAATACTGTGTCAAGTGCGGTCTTAGCTATGTCTACAACATAGGTGGCAATTAATTTAAGCATTTATCTCTTCATAAATACTTTAATTTTGTTATAATTACCACTTTTGGAATTTTCAATTACGCCTTTTTCTATATTAGCTTAGAATTGATATGTTATTTGATTGCTCCACCTGTTTGATTTGGTCCTGGATTACTTTAACCTAAAAAATACCAAATAGAACAAATTGCAAACTACATCACATACCACCATATAGTACTACATTAAGGAAAATAATAAAACAAGTGGCAAACCACATCAGATGCCACCATATAACTTAATAGTACAACCTTATTATGACCTTTTTATGAAGGAAACTTGGCTTCATGATGGAGATAGTACCAATGGATCACATTTTTTAGCATAGAAGAGTCACACTCATAAAAATGTGTCTGCAATTAAGGTATATTGTTTAGTTTTTATTTCATATTGCAGTTTTTAACTTTGGTTCTGTTTGTTAAGTAGAATCGCTTTTTATTCCGTGTATTTAATTTCTTTCCATACTTTGTCATGTGTTTACCGTTTTAGCATATAATACCGCGTTCCTTCCAAAATATTTGGATATTCACAAAGAATGCTTACCTTATTATTGTTTATTGGATAATTTGTTATGATTTTGTGGACAACCTTTTTGCATATGAATTCCTGATCCAGTGAAAAACTATGATGGATAGGGATATAGACGTTTTCTTGATATTATGTGCTTGGTTACACAACTTATAAGTTGGCAGTGTTTTATCATAGTCTTTTTATTAATGGCATTATGTTTCCAGTGTCTTCAAAGTCATGCGCAACTAACACAAGCCAGGTGCCAACAACTATTTCTTATATTTGGATGCTATTTTACCTATTTTGAGAATATTGAAGCACATTGGATTTAGTCAAGCCTGTAATATATTAGAGAAAAAAAATTAGAATTCAGCTTTAATTGAATCTGACCCTGACAGAGACTTTCTAAACATGGTGATGAATCTGACTATGACGAAGAGTTTCTGATTGAAGACAACATGCTAGAAATGGAGAATTTCAGCTAAATAACCATGACAGGTAATAATCAATAGCTCAATGGGAAAGATGTCACTTTGGTTGATCCTTTGCTAAGTAGTCTATCCCCTTTTCCATAGAATTCATATCCTATGCAACTTTGTTCCAATTCCCCCTTTTACTCTTGGGAAGTTAAGGACTTATTACATTGATGAACCACATTTGGCGGACCAAGTTGAATCCAAGAATACTTACTTCTCAAGGCATTAGGGGTGCCAGATGTTGATCTCCTCTTAAACTCATTGGAGGAAAGAATGTCATCTTCTAATGAGAACTCATTCTTTATGTGCTTTCTAACATTGAAGACTAAGACCATTAAAGAAAATATATTCTCAATTCCAAAGAAGATAGTCCAAAAAAGAATATAAAGAAGTAATCTGTTGTGCAGCCTTTTTGTAGTTTAACTTGCTTTGATTACTTAAATAGATTGATGTTTCAAAGGATATTCATCTTATACTTGTTGGGTGTTTTGAATGATATATATCTATGATTCAATCTACTATCTCCAATTGCACTCTTCATATTTGCTATTGGCTTTTGTTTCTGAACTTAGATGCTGAGAGAAGGTAGTGTTTTCTTAAAATGCAAGAAAAGGTTTTTTACCAATATGCACACACCAGTGACACACTACTTAGTGTATTGGACTTGACAGATTGTTAGACTCTGCTTGGAACCTTCACTTCTTTACCTCCAGGTTTTTTGAGTAAACATGGTTGCTGAACTTACAGAGTTCCAAAAAATGTCTCTGTATCTCTCTTGGTATTGGGTATGGGTTCAAAGCTTCTTATACACTTTTAAGAACTGAAATTGGATGTAGTGATCGTTGGCTTATATCCAAGGTGAAGCACATAAGCCAGTAACACATTTGCATACTATTATTTTTGCTAGGGGTGCTCATGCTGCTTCTTTACCTTGGATCTATGTAATTTGAAGCTGCAAACAGTTGAAATACAATCTAAGACTAATACTTATGCTTGAGCTTCTCAATGCTGTTATGTAACCACTAGCTTCATCGCTCACATCCGCCATGCGAAACTTTAAACAAAACAAATCAATCACACCAGAACAAAAATATTAAATATGAATCGTATTTTTCTAATAGAAGATGCTACTTTTCATTCAAATTGGGGGGCTTTTAAAAAGAAAATTTCCAAACTTGTGGCAGTATGCATAGTTTGTTGCATTTCTTTTTTAAATTCATAAGAATACTTAGGATTTATAATTTACAAAAATTTATAAACATGTACAATGGAAAAATTCTCTCTTATAGTCTGTGGTAGACTAAAACATTTAATTGTTGGAACAGTTTCACTAGGATCCTTTAGAACTTTTTTTTCATAAGAACAAATATGCAAAACACAATAACAAAAAATATAAGTGAATACTTGATCGGGCACTTAAATCTGCGCAACGCGCATACGATTGCTAGTATGTGTATATATATATATATATATATATATATATATATATATATATATATATATATATATATATATATATATATATATATATATATATATATATATATATATATTGAAAACTAAAGTAGGACTAAAACATTGAAAACATATCCAAATAGGACATCCATGTTTTTATTTTCGAAATAGGACTTACATTATTATACATGGTCATATACATTACCAAAAAAGTATATTATTTTGCACATGTACAATGCCACATTACACCAGGGTAAAGTTACATTACCATAGTGTAAAGTTCTATTTCGGGGAAAAAAACTTGAAAGTCCTATTTTGGTACTTTTCTCTATGTTCTAGTCCTATTTAGGGTGATTTCTATTTTTTCACGAAGACTAGACTAGCCTGGACCGATTTTTAAAAAAGACCAGACCGATCCATCTTTAATAGCATTGGTATTTTCAAAAGACTAATCGAGTCGGACTGATTTGATCTTTTTCCTCATCTCTAGTACAGAGGAAAGGTTTATAAGAAACATTAATTTTATATTTGAAATTTCTTGTGAATAGAATTAAAACATAAGTCATTTCCCAATGTAAAACTTAAACTTTTTTATTCTTTATATAAGACTTAATAATGACTAGTGAGAAGATTAATATCCAAGTCATGTTAGACATTTAGTTGAATAATAACTACTAATAGATAATTACCAATAGTTCTACCATACATTTAAAAATAAAAACATATGATCCTAATTTAAAAAGTCATTATGTTTTGATTTTATTTGGGTAAATTAGCCATTTAATATTTCTATATTAACGAAATACTCCGTATTATAGTTGCCCTAATTAAAATGATAAGGAGTATGACTAGATTATACGTAGTATTTTAGATAGTGTAACTCCACTAAATCCCTTTTTAACCCCAAAAGTGCACCCTTTGTTGGCTGGTTAGGATGTTTTTCTCATGAGAATAAAATGGGAGTGAAGAGAGAAAGAATTGCGCATGTTTTTCTCGCTTTCACTATACTTTTGATTTTGTTTTTCATAAATTGTATAAAGGGATTGGAGAAATCTAATTCGGATGTTAGGGTTTTGGGATAGCTAAGCAAAACGATGAAGATTTGTGCCTGCGTTTCCAGGCACATCTTAAAATCGGCATTTGTAGGACTATCCCCTGGCTTTCTTTCTTCCTGCCCAATTTCCCTTCCCATTTCTCTGCTTTTCATAATGGTGTTGCTGTTAGGCCCAATATTCATGAATCGTACTTGCATCATAGTAAATCAAGGTTTAAGAGTGTCAAGAAGCTTGATGATGCAATTTTTGTATACTGTCACATGGTCCGAATTCACCCCCGTCCTCCAATTTACCAATTCAACCATCTCTTGGCTGCTATAGTAAAGATGGGCTGCTACCGTGATGCCGTCTCTCTGTTTAGGGATATCTTTGCATCTGGAGTTGTTATAGACAATTGCACCCTGAGCATTGCTGCCAATTCTCTGGCCCGTCTGCATAGAGTGGACTTGGGTTTTGCTATCTTAGGGAGCCACTTGAAGCTGCGTTTAGTAACCGATGTGGTTTTCTTTAACACCTTACTTAAAGGGTTGTTCCTCCAAGGTATGGTTCACGATGCTAGTTGGTTGTTTCAGAAGTTACTGAATGAGAAACTTTGCGAGCTAAGTGAAGTCACATTACTAATACTAATTGATGGCCTCTGCAAGGCAAGACACATTGGTAAGGCTATAAAGTTGCTTCATTTGTTTGAGGAGAAAGGAAATTGCAAGCCAGATGTAAATGCATATAACGCCATCATTGATTCTTTGTGCAAGGATAAAATGATGGACGATGCCCTTGCCTTACTAACCAAGATGAGGGAAAAGGGCATTCCTCCTGATGTTGTGTCCTACAATTCCCTACTTCATGGACTATGTACATTGAGTCGTTGGGAAGAGGTCAATGAGTTATTGAAAATAATGGTGGACTCTAGAATTCCTCTTGATGTCCTTACATACAGCATATTGGTTGATGGGTTTTGCAAGGAAGGATGGATGAACTATGCTGAAAAAATCATAGAGACAATGATTCAACAAGGTGTAGATCCCAACGTAGTTACGTACAGTGCTTTGATGGATGGATACTGCATACAGGGAAAGATTGACAGTGCATCAGAGGTCTTAAACACCATGATTCAAAGGGGATGCCTCCCTGATGTTCACACTTATGGTATTCTTATAAATGGATACTGCAAGAGTGGGTGTTCAGATAAGGCCATGCAATTGTTTGAAGAAATCCCTAGCATTGGCCTAAAGCCAACACTTGTTACCTACAGCAGTATGTTGGAATGCTTATTTCAAGCTGGGAGATGTGCTGATGCCGAGAAGCTTTTTAACAAGATGGTAGAAAATCAAGAATATCCTGATCTTGTCACCTACAATATTATTTTGGATGGCTTCTGCAAGAACGATCGCGTTCCTCAAGCTCTTTCTTTACTGAGGATGATGGAAGCTAAGAGTCCTATCCCCGATATCATTAGCTATAGTACTGTCATAAATGGACTATTCAAAGATGGAAAATCATGCAGTGCAATAGAACTGTTCAATGCCCTTCCCTCTAAAGGTCTGCAACCAAATGTTATAACTTACAGAAGTATGATAAGTGGGCTTTGCCAAGAAGGCTTGTTAGAAGATGCAAAAGGCATGCTCAAGAAAATGGAGAAAAATGGTGTGATGCCAGATAGCGTGGCATACAATCTACTGATCCGTGGGTTACTGAAAAAGAATGAGCATTGTGATGCTATATTACATTTGGATGAGATGTTAAAACTTGGATTCTTGCCTGATGATGCAACATGCGAAATTTTACTGAAGTCAATCTTACGAGAAGGACCAGAGTCCACTCTGCTGCATATGCTTCTGAATATCAAAGAGAATGACCAAAAGTCCAGATCTTGAGTGTTTTCTGGCAGTTCTGTCGTTAATTGTAGGGTTAACTGTGACTAATGGCTGTTCCATTTTTAGCTTTAGGTTGCTGAGATTAATTATACATGAATCGAGTGTAATTCAACTGTGAACTTGAGTGGTGCTGATTATGTTACTAGCAAGTGGATGACTTTGCTGCTTACTCTGCTCATGTAGTCATGTTCTTCATTGAGTTGCAGGTGATCCAGGTCATAACCAATTTATCACAAGTGATTTTATTTTCCTGTTGTCTTGTTTTCCATATTCCAATTTATCACCTGAATTTTGTTTTCTGCTTTCTTGTTTTAAAAGTGAGATATAGATTTATAGTTATATTTACAAAGATGATGAGTCAAAGGATGGACTAAATGATGATATCAAACTAACTCAATGTGTTAGATATTGGCAAATGGAAAAAATAACCTTATGGTTTAACCCTCATGCAGTTCAAGAAAATTGTTCAAAAGGGAAAAATATGTTCATGACCAACATTTGGAGTACCAAATGATTCTTCAATTCTGCAATTTTTGATCTATTATGCTGCTTGCTCTGCTCCAAGGTTGTTTGAGGCAATTTTTGATCTATTACGCTGCCTGCTCTGCTCCACGGTTGTTTGAGGCAATTTTACTGCCTTTAAATCTATAAAAAAATGGATTTTGTAGTGTTTGATACAAGGAAAAATTTATGGAGAAATTTTATAACAAACATAATGACTGATAGATTTTCTTTCATTTTTCTCCCTTTCCCTTTTTACCCTGAACTGGTTTTGAGAAAATGTCACTCCTTGTGTACAGTACAGCGCCGCCGTATCCATCCCATGCGTCGTTTCTCCCTCGGTAATATAAAAATATATAGTCATCTGCCTTATTCTCCACTTGGGATAACAGAATGTACCTGTGTTTTGAGTTTGTTTGGTGAGGGTAGAGTTTGGTTGAAATCAAATGAATGAATGAATGAGGTGAACTATCTAAAAATGTTCAATATATGATTGTTTGAAATACCAGTCATCTTGGTAGTGCAGATATTCATTGTCATGGTTGTATAGTATTCCCGGATATCTTGCACGAATCTCTGTACAGCTGACTGGGTTGGTTGATGTCAATCAACTTTTTGGTTGGTGTACTTATATACTAGATTAAACCCTCCTAAACAATTGATGTTTCCATGTTGGATACTCAACTCACACACAACAACAACAACGAGAAACAATTATATGTGGCCTTGTGCAACAATTGGCTTATGGCCCAACAATAAAGTCCCCTTACAAGTTGTGCCCTCTCTCTGTTGCTAATCTTATGTTGGGCGAATTGAGTGTGGAGGCTCGACAAAGAAGGGCAGCCGGCCCTAGTCTTGGTTCGACCCATATGGCAGTAAATTAGGTTTTTAATTTAGCCGGCCCTAATTCTCTATGTGGGCTTGGGCCTAACTTGGGGATTAAGTTTTCAACCCTAGTTTAGTCTTCATAAATAAGGATCTCTGTACTTGTAATTCTGTGAGCACTTGAATAATAAAAACCCTAGTTGCAAAGTGGATTAGGTCAGCCGACCGAACCACTATAAATCTTGTGTTCTGTTTTTCTCCGTTTTGATTTCTGGTTTGTGTGTGTTCTTGTTTGGTTGTGGTTTGCTATTCAGTATTCATAGATACCCCAACAACTGGTATCAGAGACTTAGGTTNTTCAAATCAAAGATTAGGGTTTCGAAGGGTTTGAAGATCAGTTCCGCCACAGTCATAGTTTCCGCTGCAGAATACGGTCTGTACTGTCTTGTGAACAGTAACTGCGCCGCCGCTGCTGCTAGGGTTTTGTTTAGCCGCCGCTGCTAGGGTTCTGAATAGCCGCTGCCAAGGTTAGTTCGTTATTGGTTTTTTTCAATCTCAGATCAGTTTTTCAGCCGTGTATGGAAACAATGGCAGATGAAAAGATAAAGATTGAAAAGTTTGATGGAAGTGATTTTGGGTTTTGGAAGATGCAAATCGAGGATGTTCTTTATCAGAAAGACTTATACCAAACGTTATCGGGAGAAAAGCCAGAAAAGATGAGTGATGCAGATTGGGCGACCGAACCACTATAAATCTTGTGTTCCGTTTTTCTCCGTTTTGATTTCTGGTTTGTGTGTGTTCTTGTTTGGTTGTGGTTTGCTATTCAGTATTCATAGATACCCCAACATCTTATACTGTATTAAACTTTGATGATTTACATTATAATTTAAATGCATTTTTGTAGTGTGAAGCTTTGGCGAGCATACAATAGAGAACTTGAGGAATCATCCAACACTAATCATGTTTCTTTCTTTCTGTTAAAAGAGGTTAAATTTCATATGGTACATTGTAGTATTTTTAGTAATTAGGAATATATATTTTTCATTTATATAAATTTTTTCTGACAGGTTACAATGGTAAATTATGAACCGGTCTCTACCCTTTTTGTCATAGTGCCTTCAGATTTATCAGGCAAAATTTGTTTAGCAATTGGGAGAGGATCGGGATCAATTGATGTGTGGATTTCTGAGATGCCCAACAACACATTCAAGTAGTTGGCTCTTACAATGGACATGATCATATTGTGCGTTGTTATCATTGATCCATACCTTTCTCGATCATTACTCTAAGGGTATATTTGGATCATGTTAGAGAAATGGGGAATTGCTGAGGAAATTTATTTGAATATCGCTCATGGAGCCAAAGATTCACTATTTTTTGGCTTTGGGGTATGATAGAATAAAGCAAAATGCTCTTTAAACCGTTTGCACTTCTTTCAATAGTGAAATAGCAGTTACTGAAATGAACTTTCAACACTCATCCTGGGTCATCTGAAATAGCCGCTTAATGTTCTAGGAGTCAGGTTGCATACCTACGACCCCCCCCCCCACCTTACAATGGGCGGGTGCCTTTGAGGGATTGGGTTACTGTTGCTGTTGTTGTTGTTTGTATATCCAAACTACCACAGTTGATTCGAAAGGAAAATGAATATATTTTAGGAAAAAATGCACGCGTGTATATCTAATTCTTTATATATATATATATAGATAATATCTATATGTAAAGAACTTTGAGTCTTTATAATTGAAATAATAGTGAAATGAGTTTGTTCATTTTAGATTTCCTTTGCCAAGTACTTTTTGAGTTCCAAACAAATGATTAAACTCCTGTAAAATTACGAAGGTCACGGCCTGGCTTGGGCTTTTGATGGACGCTGCCTGTACAGCTGCAGCCAGGTAATCTACTTTAGATGTTCACGTGCAACTAGCATATTCCTCATAGTATTATTTCACTTAACGGAATGACTGCATTTCTAATCTAAATAATAATATACATGTCAGGATAACACACTTTGCAGCTGGGTGTTGAGAGGAAATTTGCTTACAGCAGGTTTCGATTCCCACAAACACCCCTGGAACAAGGAGCTCTGTTGATGTGCCAACTGCTTTTGATTCATGTTGCGGTCTTGCAGTGTCTCCGGGGAATCTTGTACTTGCTGTGGTACCTTGCTACCCTTTTGGTCATTGGTTAAAATTTTAGTCCTTTTGCTGAGGCTATAGATTTCTTCAACTTTTATGGTGAAAAAAACATTTTTACATGATTGGCTTGATTCTTTTTGTAATGAAAACTTCAAAATCCATAAATGTGTGCCGTAATTATAAACTGGCAAGAGCTAAATGACATTTGCAAATCCGTGCAGGTACATGGCTACGACACTCAACTATTAAATCCAATGTATGAGTCAAGGTCAGTGCACGTAACAAGAAATTCATCACATATCCTAAAATTTTGCCAAAAGAAATATATCAACACCCAAAACAAAGAAATATTCTGTCATTTGGTATAAACGGAATGGTGATTGCTAAAAATACACAGGTCTTGCAAAGCTGCAGTAGATTTACCAACAAACACTTTGCGGGCATCGTTGATAGCCTCAAACTTCACATAGAAACATAGACATCCGAAGGATACCCAGACTTCAGAACATGGCAATAATGAAGATCGATACCATGAGACTTGCTCAGTAAAAATTTGTTTCTTTGGGTTAAACTTTGTTGTCTTTTCTGAATTTTAGAAGGGAAAAGGGAACAGAAGGGATATGTTTTTGTTATGATACTCAATGAAGATTTTAGGAGATTAGTTGCATTGTTTGGTATTTTTACTGATCACTTTGTATTATTTAAAACAAAAACTTGAAGTTTTAGTGTTTTGTAGGTTGTGTTCAGTTAGCTTTACTGATTCTTTTGCAGCTCATAACCCATCATTAGTGTTTAATAGCATGCATATCTATTAACCCAAGAATTGATTTAGGGGGAGGGCATATATGCAATATATACTTTTTATACTACAATCATCTCTTTCTTACACATCTGTGCCACATCATATTGCACTAATTTCATACTTTTTTTTACTTCAAGTAGGGGTAGACACGCCAGCTCGCCAACTTACCACAACCAAATATTTAACTTAAGCTAATAATATAAATTAATTTGAAATTTTTTTTAATAATTAACTTTGATAAATAATACTTCGTATTATTGAAAATATAAAAAGATCTTAAAGTAAATACCAGTAACATAAAGAAATACTAGAATAATATATTATAAAATAATTTTTTAAGTAAATAACTTTCGAAATAGTTTAAATTAACATATATTTTCACACACATTATGCAACGTAGAAAATTGTGTAAGTAGATTCTCTTATGATTTAAAATTTGAAAAGGTAGAGTATCTTATTTTTTCAAAAAAAAAATTTCAAATAAAATTTTTCAAATTATCTATGCATCTATTTAATTCTACTAATTAATTTAATTTATTAGGTTAATAAAACTTAGTAATTTGAATATGTCGAATATTTATTTGTTAGAGAGTAAAAGTTGAATTTTGAGAGTGTAAGATTTAAAAATGAGTAAGAAAAAAAATATAAATTGTGTTTGTATGTATGCGTGAGTATTAACATTTAGTGTGTTTGGTATATCCATAGACTCTCATGCCAAAACAATTTAGTACTAAAGTACTAGGGGTGTTGTTACCATTTTGGACTAATTTTGGTACCAAATAAAATTTACTTCTCCCATACAGTGCACCCTTAGGAGGCCCATTGTCATTTTGAAGACAAGAAATAATTAAATCTTTAGCGGTTTTCACCCAAGAATTGCATCATATTTTTGAAAGAATATCCTTATGAATAAATATTTATATTTGATTTTGCAAGAATTACATCATTTTTTATATTTCCTACCTCACTTGCATATAAATATTTATACTAGTATGTTAACTCGTGTCATGCACGGGTGAAACAAAATTGTTTTTTATTCTATGAAAAATATTGTTCTTCTCTAACGCATTAATGCAACTCTAGTACCCCGCGCCATTGATAAAAAAAACTAATGATTCTCTCAATTATTAAAAATATAAAATATAATATAATTTTGATACTATAGTCTTTCGATATTTATTTACTGCATTATTATTAATGATTAAATAAAATCTAATTCTAATATTATATATTCTTCTGTCATACAAAAAAGTTTCATATTTCCACTTTTACTCGTCTTTTGCGTGTCTCATAGTTTCTCTATAAAATCTCATTTATTTTATTTAGGTCAATCTTCCCACATTAGATAAATTAAATTTATAAAAAAATTGGTGATATCTTCATTTACATTCGGAACAATACAATCACTTAAGTCCCGAGATGTGTTTCATAATCGTCTCATGCATACGTCAAAATACTTTCTAAGATGCATAATTTTCGGCCCTCTGAAGCCCTATTTGAAAAATTATGTTGATTTATCATGTTTCTTAAATTCTTTAGAGATACTAAAGTTATTATGATAGTCAAAATATTCTTATGCATATTCAATCATACAAATTGGACATTTTAGTGTTTTTAATATGGAGTATATAATATTGTAAAATATGATGTTTGTTGTGTGAGGTATGTAAATAAGATGTGTATTGAATAAATTTGAGTACATTAAAGTTATTGAAATACTTAAAACGAGTTATTCTATTTGATATCGAATGGCAATCAAGATCTTATGTAATACTAATTCCATCATTAAACTAAACTTTGGATCTAGACCATTGCTGTGACATATTATAACCATTTATTTACTACTTAAAAAAACATTTGTTTTTTAAATAAAAAAATAAAAAAAGAATTTTTTATGTGAGAAGGTCCATAAAAAATGATATGCACTCAAGGTGCACCAAATAAGCACTCTTCGAGTGTGTTTGGGAGTGGTAAATTGTTGAAAAGTAGGAGTTTTAACTCGAAGTGGAAAATAAATATTTTGAACTTTGCTTAAAAGTACTTCTGGAGCCTATTTTGCACTACATAAGTCATACTTCGTAATTTATAAGTAGAAGTAGGTTAGCAAATACGACAAACATTAATTTAGTGAGGCAAAAGCTCATAAACAATTTTTAAATGCAACCTCGAACATTCTCTTAGTTCTTTGTCAATAAATTAATGTGAACAAAAATGTACTATTGTTTCAACTAGTATCACACCCGTGCGCTGCACGGGTCATACTTACGTTACTAAAATAAGATCATTTTTAATGATAAATTATGATATGTAATAGAATATAGAGATTTTATTATTTTAAGGTACAAAAGTTTTTTGCTTAGAAATTTCAAACGACTTTATGTAAACTGCATTGTTCGTACAATTTGTAGGAACATTGTGTTCATTGCATATCGAAATCTTCAAGCCACTATAATTTGTTACTCTATTATTATTATGATTATTATTATTACTCTATAACTTATCTTTATTATTATTACGTTTATTATTATTATTATTATACAGTACCATATTATTACCATATTCTTTTTATTCTTTCACATGCTACCTTTCTTATTATGCATGATACCAAAATCTATAATGTATGAAATTACCTTATTAATAATTAATATTTAATAACTAATAATTAAGGTTTCACATGTTACCTTTTTTATTGCACGATACCGAAAAATATAAGGTATGAAATTACCTTATTATAAGGTGTGTGAATATATTTTTTAAAAATCAAGTCAACACTTTGATTTATTTTATACATGGTAATAGCACAAAACTAACATACCTTGATTATTATTACGTTTATTATTATGATGATTATTAGCATACGGTACCATATTATTTTCATATTATTATTATTATTCTAAATGTTACCTTTTTTATTACACATACAAAAAATATAAGGTATGAAATTACCTTATTAATAATTAATAATTAATATTATAATTTATAATTTTGGTAAAATATATAAGGTATGAGAATACATTTTTTTAAACCAAGTCAACACTTTCATTTATTTTATACACGGCAATAGTACAAAACTAACTTAGATTTATTACAATTATTAAGTTTATTATTATGATGATGATTATTATTATTATTCTGTACCATATTATTAATTACCATGTTATTATTCTTCCATATGTTACCTTTTTTATTATACTCGGTACAAAAAATTGTAAGGTATGAAATTAACTTATTAATAATTAAAGTTTCACATTTATCATTTTTATTACAATGTACCAAATTTATGAGGTACGAAATTACTTCATTAATAATTCATAATTTAAAATTAAGTTCCACATGTTACATTTTTTATTATGCACAGTACCAATAATAATTATTACGTTTATTATTGTTATTATTATTATACGATATCATATTAGTTAATGTAATTAATAATTCTCATTATACGGTATACTGAAACGTAGTCGAGGGAAAACTGTATCATACTTTGTCATCATGAAAAATGACGTCAAAGATTGTGGTGTTAATTTAATTTGATCATGTGCAGATGTTCGATAAATATGTATAGCGCGAACTCTTACCATGAACGGACCAATACCATCGTCAACTTCGTCTAGTGTGAACCACACACTAATTAGTCCTTATGTGGTTTGTATTAAAGAACGGAAAAAGTAAATTTACGATGTGAATGTGAGTTTACAACCATGGAAAGTCAAGTTCTATTTGTACACAAAATAATTAGTACATTCCATAGGAATTGAAAGCATTGTGTTTTAAAAGTAATATTCTTTTTTTAAAAATTCCTTTTATAAAAATAGATTTAAAAGCATTGTGTTTTAAAAGTAATATTCCTTTACGACAGGGTGACCCAATATCACCATATCTTTTTCTAGTGGTGGCGGAAGGGCTTTCGGCTCGATTACAGCAATGTATGCAAAGGGGATTGATTCATGGAATTAGAATTACACCAAAAGCTCCACCAGTTTCACACCTATACTTTGCTGATGACGCCTTGTATTTTTTTTAAGGCGGTGGAGGAGGAAGCTCGGGTTATTCGGGACTGCCTAGTAGAGTATGAACAAGCATCTGGGCAGCTTGTTAATGTCCAAAAGTCAGAGGTTAGTTTTAGCGGTAATACTACTGATGGCATGAAGCAGCGAGTGGCCAATGTTTTGCAGGTCCAGGCAGTTGAAACCCGAAGCAAGTATTTGGGACTACCAGCGACCATCGGGCGTAGTAAAAAAGAAATCTTTAAAGATGTCCAAGATAAAGTGTGGAAAAAGATTGAAAGTTGGAAACATAAGACATTATCTAGGGCGGGAAAGGAGGTGCTTATTAAGGAGTTATTCAGGCAATCCCGAGTTATATTATGACAATGTTTAATCTCCCAATCTCTTTGTGTGATAGTATTGAGAAAGCGGTGAATCGTTTTTGGTGGAGCTCAGGTAGAGGGGAAAACCGTGGAATAATTTGGATGACATGGCGACGCCTGGGCAGATTGAAGGAGAATGGGGGGCTCGGATTTCGCCAATTGAACCTCTTTAATAAGGCGTTACTGGCAAAAACAGGATGGAACCTTATCGTTCGACCTCGGTCTCTTGTCCATCAGATTTATAAAGCCCGGTACTTCCCTAATAATGACTTCTTCCATGCGCCAAAGGGTAATAGTCCAAGTGTTGTATGGCGGGCTTTGTTGGAAGGTCGGGAGGTTTTAAAAAAACAATGCAGGCGGTGCATCGGAGATGGGAGGGAGACAACATTTTTGAACAGCCCCTGGTTGCTTAGAGACGAGGATCCATATATTCGCACTCCGCTTCCAAGTGAATGGTGAGACGCGAACGTGGCTGATCTGATCATCCCGGGAACTAAATCAAGGAATAGGGATCTGATTCATGCTATTTTCTGGCCAGAGGATAGTCAGGCTATCTGTAACATCCCGCTCTACCAGTCTATCAAGAAGGATTGGTGGATGTGGACCGGGGATCGGAATGGGTGTTACACGGTGAAGCAAGGATACCGGGTATCTCATAAGGACTAAGCGGTGGGAGGGAACATCGACAAAGCAGTGTGGCAGGGCCTCTGGAGACTAAATGTTCCACCAAAAGTTAGGAATTTTATATGGAGAGGTATGCATGAGGTACTTCCAGTTCGGGCAAATCTGGTGCGTAAAGGGGTTTCTATTACAGCAGAATATCCGAGGTGTTTGAGCATCGAGGAAACGACGCTGCATGGGCTGGTGTTATGTCCATTTGTAGTTCAATGCTTAAGGGAAGTGGGCGGCGAGCGTGGCAATGTGGAACCATCATTTGCACAGTGGTTCGCAGCTTTATGGAAGGAAAGCTCACGAGAGTTTGTTGCATGTGTGGCAATCATCCTTTGGGAGATTTGGAATCAACGCAACCAATTGGTGTGGAATAACAAATATATGCAACCGAAGACCCTGGTCGCTCGGGCACTACAGTGGTACCAGTTATGGCAGCAAGCGAAGCAAGAAGATCCCGAGGTGGCAAGGACGCGAAACACTTTCCACAACCAATGGGAGCCGCCAGTTCTTGGGGCTCTAAAGTGCAACGTCGATGCGAGTTTTAACCCCAACACACATCTGGCGAGAGTGGGCATGGTGGTGCGAGATAGCAATGGATATTTTGTGAAGGGAGCCTCTCGAGGTCTAGGGCAGGTGGAGGATGCGTGCATGGCAGAGGCGATCGGGGTAAGGGAAGCACTTAGTTGGCTTAAGGGAATATTTAGAGACCGAATAATCACGCTGGAGATGGATAACCAGACACTTTAATTACTTTGCACTCCAGGCGCGGGAGGAAAATTTCTCATACTTTTCAGGTTTGGTCTTGTAAAACACTGATGTCAGAGTTTTATTCTATCTCTTTGTCTTTTGTTCGTAGATCTGCGAATGAGGTGGCTCACTTGTTGGCTCGAGCCTCTGATTCTATGCCTGATCTATTGGAGTGGGATGATACCCCTCCTACAATTATTTGTGATGTTTTGCAGAAAGAGTTGAGAAGTTAATAGGAATGTTCCCTTGATTTTCAAAAAAAAAAGTAATATTCCTTTTTTAAAAATTATATTTTCTTTTGTATAATATTCAGTGGTATCATTATTATTGAGGATTTAGTATTACCTTGATTGAAAAAATCTGTTCAACTTATATTAATTACCAATTATAAATTGTGTCATATTATCATTATTCCTTTTTTAAAATGATTACGTGTTAAAACTATTCATTTTAAAAAGGAAATTGGTTAATCACCACGGTTAATACCGTGTGATAAAAAAGGAAATGTATTTATTATAGCTTTTAAATCATTTTTTAGATTAATAATTATTTTTTAGATTAATAATATCACGTTTTTAAAGGGATTCTGTGTGAAAAGTAATATTAATTTTTTAAAAAATAACGTTTTCTTCGGTATAATATTCCGTGGCGTCGTTATTATTGAGGAATTGAAATTACCTTAATTAGAAAGCATCCGTTCCGTTAATATTAATTACAAATTACAAAAAAAATTGTGAACTAATGTTAACTTTTTAAAAGTACTATTTCCTTTTTTAGAATATTTACCTTTTCATATTACCATATATATGGTTTAAATCGCCGCATTAAATAACATACGGAGTACATGTTTTCTTTTTTATAATATTCAGTGTCGTTATTATTACTAAACAATTTAAATTACCTTAATTAAAAAAAATCATTCCGTTAATATTAGTTCAAAATAGTAATTGTTTGATATTACCGTATTGCTTAAATCACCACATTAAATAACATACGTGTTTTAATGCCTAGTTTCCTTTAATAGAATATAATAAGTCGATATTATATTACCAATACAAAATTCTGTATAAAATATATTATAATTGTTAGCATTTATTAATTACCAATTAAACTTTAGAATTACCAAAACTAATGCCTAGCACTCTTGGGTGGGAAAACACAAAGTTGACTTCACTTCTTTTTAAATAAAGTATAAATAAGTATGGTCTTCTTATATAAGTTACGCTAAATAAGAGCTTCCTTTTTTTACTTGAGTGGTTGAAGATATAATTACCCAAAAAACTCTAGATGGGAATCTCAACCATGTTCAACCCTCAATGGCGATATTAATTATCTTTTCTTTATAAATATTACAGGGTAATAGATTCAATCATACTAAAAATGTTAAACCTACTAAACGGCAAATCTAGGATTTTGTTAAAAGAGATAGTTAAACTTTTTACTTTTATAGAACAAATTGAAAATTGTAAATGTACAAAATCTCTAAAAATTTTGGCCCTTTTTTCATACCATCATAAAGTTCTAAAGAAAATGGGTGTGCTACTAAATAAAAAAAGTAAAATGAAACAACGATTAAACTCATTTCCTTACAGTATAATTAATTCTATACTCGTGTTAGTAATCATTAAATGAGATTGTTTAAAATATATGTGTGTGTTTCCAAACAAAGGAAGTAAAATTTGTTTTGAAGTTTCATTGGTAAAAGTTTGATTCTCCATTAATTGTGAAATATTTTTTTAAGTATACAATATCCTCTTAAATCCATGAGTAGGTGTAGTCATGTAGATTCAATGAGTAAACATTGTTTCCCTATTTTATACGGAGTATATTGTAATTTGAAATGCCTTATGCTCATTTATACAAACTATAATATTAGAAAATGCTAATGTAGATATGATTGAGTTTAATTTGAACTTCAAAAAAATTAATGTTTAAGATAATCAATTTTAAATGTGTTCCTAAATTATCAAAATAAGAACAAAACGTGGAGAAAATATTAAAATAAGAATTCTTATTTTTTGAAAATTATTTAGAATATTTCAATTCCAAATTTTGCTCGTTATTTCAAGAAATAAATAGTATATTAATACTATGATGTAAAATGTTAGAAACCTCCCCTCCTTAAAACTTTTATTTTATTTTGTATAAGCTATAGTTTAATTTAAATTGATTGCCTTATTTATTTTAGTAATTTTATATGGCTTCATAGTTCATACCATTTCTTCCATTTTAACCAGAAGCCCACTCAAATACCGGAAAGGATGTTCAGTTGTTGGTTAGCATGCTTTTCTTGTTTTCTCTATACTTAGGCTTTTCTTTATACGTGTAGTTCATAAATGGTATGCAGGAAAAGCTACGGGAGAAGAAATCTAATTCGGATGTTAGGGTTTTGGGAGAGCTAAGCAAAACGATGAAGATTTGTGCGTGTGTTTCTGGGCACATCTTCAATCGGGCATCTGGAGGACTATCCCCTGCTAAAACCCTTTCCTTCTTCCTCCCCAATTTCCCCTCCCATTTCTCTGCTTTTCATAATGGTGTTGCTGTTAGGCCCAGTATTCATGAATCATACTTGCATCATAGTAAATCAAAGTTTAAGAGTATCAAGAAGCTTGATGATGCAATTTTAGTATACCGTCACATGGTCCAAACTCATCCCCATCCTCCAATTTACCAATTCAACCTTCTCTTGGATGCCATTGGGAAGATGGGCCGCTACAGTGATGCCGTCTCTCTGTTTAGGGATATCTTTGCATCTGGAGTTGTTATAGATAATTACACCCTGAGCATTGCTGCCAATTCTCTGGCCCGTCTGCATAGAGTGGACTTGGGTTTTGCTATCTTAGGGAGCCACTTGAAGCTGGGTTTAGTACCCAATGTGGTGTTCTTCAGCACCTTACTTAAAGGGTTGTTCCTCCAAGGTAGGGTTCACAATGCTAGTTGGTTGTTTCAGAAGTTACTGAATGAGAAACTCTGCAAGATAGATGAAGTCACATTACTAATACTAATTGATGGCCTTTGCAAGGCAGGACACACTGGCAAGGCTATTAAGTTGCTTCATTTCTTTGACGAGAAAGGAAATTGCAAGCCAGATGTACATGCATATAACGCCATTATTGATTCTTTGTGCAAGGATAAAATGATGGACGATGCCCTTGCCTTAATTACCAAGATGAGGGAAAAGGGCATTCCTCCTGATGTTGTCACCTACAATTCCCTAATTCATGGACTATGTACATTGAGTCGTTGGGAAGAGGTCAAGGAGATATTGAAAACAATGGCGGACTCTAGAATTCCTCTTGATGTCCTTACATACAACATATTGGTTTGTGGGTTTTGCAAGGAAGGATGGATCAACTATGCCGAAAATATCATAGAGACAATGATTAAACAAGGTGTAGATCCCGATGTAGTTACGTACAATGCTTTGATGCAAGGATACTGCTTACTAGGAAAGATTGACAGTGCATCAGAGCTCTTAAACACCATGATTCAAAGGGGATGTCAGCCTGATGTTCACACTTATAGTATTCTAATAAATGGGTATTGTAAGAGTAAGTGTTTAGATAAGGCCATGATATTGTTAGAGAAAATCCCTACTATTGGCCTAAAGCCAACAGTTGTTGCCTACAACAGTATGTTGGATGGCTTATTTCAAGATGGGAGATTTTCTGATGCCGAGAAGCTTTTTAACAAGATGGTAGAAAATCAAGAATATCCAAATCTTGTCACCTACACTATTATTTTGGATGGCTTCTGCAAGAACGATCGTGTTCCTCAAGCTCTTTCTTTACTGAGGATGATGGAAACTAAAAGTCCTATCCCCGATATCATTAGCTATAGTACTGTCATAAATGGACTCTTCAGTGTTGGAAAATCAAGTAGTGCAATAGGACTGTTCAATGCTCTTCCATCTAAAGGTCTGCTGCCAGATATGATAATTTTCAGAAGTATGATCAGTGGGCTTTGCAAAGAAGGCTTGCTAGAAGATGCAAAAGGGATGCTCAAGAAAATGGAGAAAAATGGTGTGATGCCAGATAGCGTGGCATACAATGTACTGATCCGTGGGTTACTGAAAAAGAATGAGCATTGTGATGCTATATTACATTTGGATGAGATGTTAAAACTTGGATTCCTGCCTGATGATGCAACTTGCGAAATTTTACTGAAGTCAATCTTACGAGAAGGCCCAGAGTCCACTCTGCTGCATATGCTTCTGAATATCAAAGATAATGACCAAAAGTCCAGATCTTGAGTGTTTTCTGGCAGTCCTGTGGTTAACTGTAGGTTTAACTGTGACTACTCATAAAGTGTTTTTTATCACCACCATTCCTGAATGGCTGTTTCATTATTACCTTTAGGTTGCTGAGATTAATTATACATGAATCGAGTTTAATTCGACTGTGAACTTGTATTGGTGCCGATTATGTTACTAGCAAGTTGATGACTTTGCTGCTTACTCTGCTCATGTATCCATGTTCTTCATTGAGTTGCAGGTGATTTTATTTTCCTGTTGTCTTGTTTTCCAAATTCCTTCATCTATTTTCTGTTTTCCATATTCCAATTTATCACCTGAATTTTGTTTTCTGCTTTCTTGTTTTACAAGTGAGATATAGATTTATAGTTATATTTACAAAGACGATGAGTCAAAGGATGGACTAAAAGATGATATCAAACTGACTCAATGTTTTAGATATTGGCAAATGGAAAAAACAACCTTATGGTTTAACCCTCCCGGAGTTCAAGAAGATTGTTCAAAAGGGAAAAAAATGTTCATGACCAACATTTGGAGTACCAAATGATTCTTCAATTTTGCATTTTTTGATCCATTATGCTGCTTGCTCTGCTCCACGGTTGTTTGAGGCAATTTTACTGTCTTTAAATCTATAAAAGAATTGATTTTAAAGTGTTTGATATAAGGAAAACTTTAAGGAGAAATTTTATAACATAACGACTCTGATAGATTTTCTTTCATTTTATAACAAAAAAGATTCGATGGTTTTAAAACGTAATCCTAATACTCCGTATGATAGTTTTTTCATCTGTCATATATAAAAATAATATCTTTGTGTAAAAAATACTTTTCTTTTTTTTGAATAATATTTTCGTTATAAAAAGCAAATATGTGACTGAAAAATTTGTTTCTTATCTAAACAATTTCAACTTATTTTTCATTTTTTGAAAACTTTTAAAAATTCTGTGATGGTCAAATTAAAAATGTAAAACATGAAAACTGAGTTGGAAGTTATTTAGATAAGAGAAAAGTTTTGACCAAAAGTCCAGATCTTGAGTGTTTTCAAAGTCCTCTAGTTGATATTAGGATTAACAGTGACTACTTTTTAAGTGTACTTTATGACAGTTTTTGAATGGTTGTTTCATTTTGAGCTTTAGGAGTTTAGGTTAATGGAATTAATTATACTTGAATCAAGTTTAATTCCACTGTGAACATGAATGGTGCTGATTATGTTGTTTTCAATTAAAACTGCTACTTCCTCATCATTACTTTTAAAATAACATATTCACCTTTTCTTCATATATAACTGAGCTGCCGGGAGTAAAACTGTAGCTAGTTCTGCTGCTTACTTTGCTCATGTATTCATGTTCTTCATTGAGTTGCAAGGGATCCAGGTCAGAACCAATTTATCACCAGAATTTTGTTTTTTTGTTGGGTTGTTTATCATATTCCTTCATCTAATTTCTTCCATTATAGATTACTTAGTGAACTAAATCTTGTGATTAGTTTCCAAAACGCTAACAACAAAAGACATTCCTAAAGGAGGCCTAAATTAGGTTTGGTTTTGCAAGAAAACTGGCTTAATTAATTCACTAAATAATCTACAATGGAAAAAGGTAAGAAAACTGGAGGTTCACGGACATTGACCCAACTTGTCCCATCTGCGAAGCAGAACCAGAGAAAGCCAACCATCTTTTATGTAGCTGCAGAGAAAGCCAACCAGCTTTAAGTTACTGGAATTAAGTATACATGAATCGAGTTTAATTCGACTGTGAACTTGAATGGTGCCGTTTATGTTACTGGCAAGTGGATGACTTTGCTGCTTACTCTGCTCATGTAGTCAAATTCTTCATTGGACCAGAGGAAGCCAACCATCTTTTATGTAGCTGCAACTTTGCTAAGAAGGTACGTAGTAGACTTGAGGAGGAAAATCTTCTCAAGTGGCAGGGGGATGATATAGAGCAGATGATGCACTATGTGAGGAGCGCTAGAAAGAAGCTGAGAACAAACATGGAACCTGTCCTTGCTGCAATATCTTTGCTTCTATTCATGTGATTCTTGACTAATCTGATCCGATGTTTATTTGTCAGTAACTATTAACTTTTGTGTTATGAATATAAAGTTGTGTTTTTGTCCAAAAAAAGGTAAGAAAACACTCTGTTTGGTTGTACATTATTAAATTAGTATTCTGCTAAAAAAGAAAATTTGGGCTTTCCCATATAACACTGCAATTGATGGATGGGTAGTGCATATGCTTCTGAATGTCAAAGTGTAAAAGGTCAGGGCCATTGAGCGTCAACAATTTGGCAATTTATCTAGCTACATCCTACAACTTATTTGGCAATTTATTTGTGTTTAGGTGCAATCATCAATTGCCATTGAGCGTCATGGCCAGTGTACTGTAGTGAACCGCAGAAACTTAATCAACATAGGAGTTGAAAATGTATGGTGAGATTACAAAGCTGATAACTCCCCAAACTTGTTAACATTCTTTGCTTCATTAGTTTTGGTAATTTGCATTCAGTTGTTGTCCTCTCAATTTTAAGCCAAGATCTAATCAAATCCTTCTTTGGTTCAATGTCCTTCTACGTTATTCTGCATTTTGAGAGACATGGTTTGCCATTCCAAAAAAGAAAGTAGTGTATGCCAAATTTCATGGCTACTTTGATGTAGAGTTTATACTTTTGGATTCTACTTCTCCGCACGAAAAGTACATGTCAAAGTGTAAAGTTTTCTATCAATCTATCATTTAGATTTTAGGTATGCTCTTCAAATTCAATGCCCTATGAAGAAATGCAATTATTAATGTTTTAAAACCATTTTGAAAGAGAATTCATAATTCTATTAGTATGAATGATGAAGAGTATAATTCTTGTTAACATTCTTTGCTTCATTAGTTTTGGTAATTTGCATTCAGTTGCTGTCATCTCAATTTTAAGCCAAGATGTAATCCTTCTTTTGTTCAATCACCTTCTACGTTATTCTGCATTTTGAATAAAATGTTTTCATGTGATTTTGCTTCATAGTTTTACCTCTCTATAATTTGTGTTGTGCTATCAGGTCTTGTTCTTCTTATCCTTCTTTTTTAGTTCTTCATTTTACTGCATCATAAATATATTAAATTTGAAAATTTGCGTTTCCGTTTAATCGTGTTGGGTGGTGCTATATGCCGCAGATTGCCAACCCTTGGATAATCAACCATAGCTATCTAAATCCAAAATCATTGAATTGTGGGTCTCTCCCTAAAAGTTTTACTGTATGAGCACCGGGAAGGCCAATGGAGAAGCACGAAATGTACATCAGCACCGGGAAGGGCATGCATACCTCCTAGCAGCCCGGTGAGATCTTTGATGTTAGTCTTGAGTACATTCCGGGCATTGATGATGATGAGGAGTAAGGTTCATCTTCTTCATCAAAATGTACCCTCTCAATCCCCTTCGGTTTATTTTTGTTTAAAATTCATTCTTGTAAAATGGGGAAAATTGTAATCCTGTAACGTTCTCTTGTGGAATGTGAAACGTGTGCTAAGAAGTGCGCAATTACATTATACCCTATATCCAAATTTACAACATAACACCTTAAATGCAGACAAATCAGCCATATGCACATAAAAAAGCCAACAAACACTTACCCAATAAATCAAGGCCAGCTAGCAAAACCAGAAAACTAGGAAATGAAAACACCAAGACAACCAGTAATTGAAACCTAGATACGTCCATGCATTACGACAGTATGCATTTTAACCCAAAAAACAAACTCCTAAACCCACCTATAACAAAAAACTGAATATCAGATAATCAAATATCCATGTCTACCATAAAGAAAAAACAAGATCATGGCAATGCATATTGCCAGGATGCATTATAAGCCACTACACACATTCAATGACAGATACAAATTACAAAACCAAACAATGCCTTTGAGTAAACCACATACAGACGAATCACACACACTTCCACACCAAAAATCCCACCCCCCATGCCCGCTACATGCACACTGCACTACAACAATTGTGTGTAACCCACCACAAATCCATACCATAAAAAGTCCACCCAACAAAACCACATTATTACACATCTTATGAAAAAGCTGTAATCATGATGAAAGGGAAAACCTAATGACACCACATACACACAACCAAATGCCAAAAAAACATCACAGGAAGAAATTCAATGCAATTGTTACCTCAATTCCTGAAACGAAACAGAAAAACGAAGTCATAACAATTGCAAATCCACTACAACTTACAAGAACAAATCTATTTACCACCAAATGCTAAATGCCCAAAAACGATAAAAAATAAAAACATATGGAAACCTCTTAATCTACCAGAATCTGAAACTTTGGGCATTACACAACACATATCATACTTGCAGCAAAAAATCACCCAAAATACAAAAGAAAAATAAATGTCCAAATCACTTAACAAAAGCATCTTAAACACAGCCATGCATAATGCAAACAGAATTTAAAAAATGTCCAAAACACACACACTTCTCCAATACTGTCAAAACATTTGCAAATACACTTCTGATTACACGAACAGAGCTCTTTACTTCTCAAGGCTAAACCCCAAAACGCCAAAACCTCAAAAAACAGCAACAAACCTTTTCATCTACCAGAATTTGAATTTTAAGGCATTACATAACACAAATCAAACTTGCGCACGAAAAACTCCCAATTTGCAAAAAAAAAACAAATGCCGAAATCAACCAACAAAGAAACCTAAACACAGCCATGCATAATGCCAAAATTCCAACTTTAACAACGCACCCTCATATAATCAACGAGAAAATTGTGCCTGAACCTTCTCCATCCGTTTACTAAGAGGAAGTTCATCGACTGCGCAAAGCATCCTCAGTAGCCATTGCAATCCTTGCACTGCGTCTCCTCTGCGGAACAGATCTCTCTGGTGTTGTAAACTCCGTAGGATTCATATTTCCAGATTTTAATTTTGGGAAGTGCGAAATAATCGCCTGATTCACCGAGCTCAAAACCTGGAAGAATGCAACAGACTATAATTGCAAATCTGTCGCCTGACTAGCCGCCCTCAAGAATCGGAAAATGCATTGCCAACTTCAAATCAAATCGTTACCTTCTTTAAACTACACGGACAAAACCGGAATTGCACATCACACTAAATGACGGAAATTACTACTCTCAATAGGAGTGCTGAATACATACTAAAACATGTACAGTAGTGCTATTTGAGTGCTTCCCCCAAATAACATATTAATCTTCAAAAAAAGGAACCTAGATTTTTAAAAAATATGTTTTTGGGGTCAAAAAAGTATTATGTACGGATGAGAAGCAATCAAAATTTCATAAGGTAGTGTTTGGCAACTTGCATTTCATTTTAATTTATACATTTCAATTCCGAAATTTGAAATCTTGAATTTCAAATGACAAGGGGAGGTGCATAGATTTCAAAATAAGCTTTGTTATGAATGACAAGAATTTGACTCAAATCCAAATTTAAAATTTTTAAGTTTTCCAAACATCAAATTTGAGCCAAATCCGGATTTGAAATCCAAATCCATGTTTCCAAACATACGAAATCTTCTACACTACAAATTATAAGTTCCAAATCAGAAAAATACAAATTAATTAGAAAAAATGCAATTGACAATAATTTGTAGAATATTATGAATTGGTAATATTTTTTGGTACAATGAATTGATAATATTTGGTGATACTTTTATAAAATATGAATGACCCTCTCTACTTCCAAATTATAAATCTAAAAATTAAAAAATTGGAAAAAGTTTTTCAGTTCAACAAAATTAACCAAAAATTGGTTAAAAAAAGTTCGAACAACACATGAAATTAGGGGTGAAGATAATGAATTTCAGATTCAATAATTGGTTTATAAAATTTCTAAAATTGGTGAAAAGAAGAAGATGAAAGAAAGAGAAAACTCCTGATAAAGAAGAAGCAAGTTGATGGTGACCCCCAAAGCTGGCGAGTGAAGAAATAGATGTGCCACAGAGTTCCACTCTCAACCCTTCCTTGCGGAAATGGTTCGCAATTTCTCGATGTTAGGGTTTCGGAATGGTTCCCAAGATGATGAGAATTTCCGGTGGATTCATCTTCAGGCGGGCCAGCAGAGGATTATCCCCAAACGGTAACAATCCCATGGGTTTCTCTGGTTTTCACAGTGGTGTTTCTGATGTTAGTACAAATCTCCAGGATTCATACCTGGAGCACTGCGAATCGAACTTTAATGGCGTCAAGAAGCTTGATGATGCGCTTGTTCTGTACCGGCATATGGTCCTTATGAGACCCTTTCCTCCAATTGTGAAATTCAACCAACTCTTGAGTTCCATTGTGAAGATGGGGTGCTACAGTGATGCTGTCTCGCTATTTCAAGATATTTGTGCCTCTGGCGTTCGGGTAGATCACTACACGTTGACCGTTGCTGCCAATTCCCTTGCCCGTTTGGGTAGGGTAGACTTGGGTTTTGCCATTTTGGGTACCCACTTGAAGCTCAGTCTAGTGCCCGATGTCGTTTTTTACAACACTTTACTTAAAGGGTTGTTCCTTCAAGGTAGGGTTCAAGATGCCATTGGGTTGTTTAAGAAGCTATTGAGTGAGAGACTGTGTGTGGTAAGTGTAGTCACATTGCTAGTACTAATTGATGGCCTCTGCAAGGCTGGGCACACTGGCAAGGCTGGGAAGTTGCTTCATTTGCTTGATGAGAAAGGAAACCGCAGGCCAAATGTGTTTGCATATAGCACCATCATTGATTCTTTGTGCAAGGATTCCAAGGTGGACGATGCCCTTGTCCTGTTATCCAAGATGGTGGCAAGGGGCATTCCTCCTAATGTTGTGACCTATACTTCCCTAATTCACGGGCTCTGTAAATTTAGCCGGTGGAAAGAGGTAAAAGAGCTGCTGAAAAGAATGGCAGACTCTAAAATTCCTCTTGATGCCCATACGTACACTGTATTAGTGGTTGGGTTTTGCAAGGAAGGATGGGTTAACGATGCTGCGAAAACCATAGAGACAATGGTTCAAGAAGGTGTAGAACCCAATGTTATCACATACAGTGTTTTGATGGATGGATACTCCTTGCAAGGAAAGATCAGCAGTGCTTTGAAACTCTTGAACACCATGATTTACAGGGGATGCGACCCGGACATTCAAACTTACAATATTCTAATAAATGGGTATTGCAAGAGTGGGTATTTAGATAAGGCCATGCAATTGTTTGAAGAAATCCCTAGCATTGGCCTAAAGCCAACCGTTGTTACCTACAGCAGTATCTTGGAGGGCTTGTTTCAGGCAGGGAGATGTGCTGATGCAGAGAAGCTTTTCAACAAGATGGTAGAAAGTCAAGAATATCCAGATCTTGTCACCTACACTATTCTTTTGGACGGCTTCTGCAAGAACTATCGTGTTCCACAAGCGCTCTCTTTGCTGAGGATGATGGAAGCCAACAGTCCTGCCCCAGATATCATTACCTACAACACTGTCATAAAGGGACTGTTCAATGATGGAAAATCAAGCATTGCAATGGATCTGTTCATTGCCCTTCCCTCCAAAGGCGTGCAACCAAATATGACAACTTACAGAATTATGGTAAGTGCCTTTGCCAAGATGCCAAAGGCATGCTCAAGAAAATGGTGTGATGCCAGATAGTGTGGCATACAATGTACTGATCCGTGGGTTACTGAAAGAGAATGAGCATTGTGATGCTACATTACTTTTGGAGGAGATGTTAAAACTTGGATTTTTGCCTGATGATGCAACTTGCAAAATTTTACTGAAGTCAATCTTACGAGAAGGGCCAGAGTCCACTCTGCTGCATATGCTTCTGAATATCAAAGAGAATGACCGAAAGTCCAGATCTTGAATGCTTTCCGGGAAGTTTCATATTATTACCTCATTGAGGGAGTTAGAGACTTCAATCCTTAGGCCTGTGATTCATCTTTTGTAAAATAGGCGGTATTAGCAATAGTTCTGATGTTTACTCTGCTTATGTTCTTCAGGGTGATTCAGGTCAGAGCCAATTTATCAGAATCAGGCGCCGTTTGGTACACGGAATTCAAACTATGGAATTGGAATTGGAGACAACAATTTCAATTCTGCTATTTGGAGAAAAATGAATTAGAAAAATGAATTGGTAGTGACAAAAAATGAATTAGAATTGGAGAATTCAATTCCATCCAAATTAAATCCATAGAATTTCAATTTCCAATTCCATCACCACCGTGTACCAACTGGAATCTTAGTTTTTTGTTTTCTCTTTTGTTGTTGGGTTGTTGTCCATATTCTATCATCTACATTGGATTACATGCAATACCTCTGATGGATGCCAAACTCAGAGGTTCTTTTTTTTTATAATAAATCTAAGAAATGTAAAAATTTAACGATTTTGACAGAAATTGTATTATTGTTATCTTTTGTTTTTCAATTTAAGTTTATTCTTAAGTGAAACTTCATTTATTTTTTTCTCTTTTTTCGATTGTCATATGATAAAATAAAATAGTAATCTCACAACTAATTTTATAGATCTTTTAATCTAGTACGGAATATTTTAATATGAAATTTTTATTTTTTAATTTTACATCATTTTTCATATAAAATAATTTAAAAATAATTTCAGTCAAATATCGTAAACCGAAACATGCAGTATAAATTGGGACGGAACAAATATTTTTTATTTATTTGTAAAAGATAAAGAGTGGAGTTTTTTTTTTCTTTAAAAGTACGAGAAGTGGATCTAATCGAATAAGATATGACAAAAATATTTTATTTTAATCCAAACACAAACAAATAATTTTGATCTTTTTTTTTTTGTTTTCATTTTGAAGATGGCCTCAATTTGGTGGATTAAGCAACCCCCAAAATGATTGTGTGTTAAGGGGAAATAAAGTGATTCTTAACAGTTGCCGTTCTAAATTTGAAATTTAAGATTTAAAATTTAAAATTTAAAATTTAAAATTCGAACGTTGTGGGTGCTTGAGTGAATGCACTATAAGGTTAAGGTATGTAAAGATTTTCTGAATGCCAACTGATTTTAGAAGAGTTAGTGGTGGTTTGAGGTCTTTCACTGTGATGATCTTTGAAGCTATGACGATATGCTTCGCTCTCACTTGAGGGGATCTCCCCTACTGAAGGGCTATCTCCACCTCATGTAGTTGAGAAGAAAGGACGACATATATCTGCTCATCCACGAGCATCTTGTCCATGACGCGACCATCAAGGGCTGTCAGAGTTGAGTGTGTTCCTAAGTATGAACATTGCGTTCTGATAATGAAAAATGTTTTATCGTCGTGGGAGTAAAGTTAACCGATTATATTGACATTTGAAGGGCTACAACAAGCACTTGAGCTCACAATGTTGCTAGAAACGGTCCCAAGTCTAGTAGCAAGACCAAGACTTTGTGACCTTTGTTGACAAGTCTTTTAGGTTGTAGAATTATTTGTTAATAAATGTGGTGTTGGGAATAACTTTTAGACTTTGCTGGGTGATCCTACTTTGACACTAAACCTTTTCCCAAGGACTTAACTTACTTTTCAAGCCAAAACTGTTTTTGAAAGGCAAGTAATTGAACACTATATTTATTGTTTCACTACGTGCAAACTTGGACAAAATATATTTTGTTGGTGCAGGTATTAGTGTTCGAATACTCCGTAATTTTCTTAGCAATATACTCCTCCATCTCAAATTAAATTACTTGTTTACTATTCATAGAGTCAAACTTTATTCACTTCCTTTTGCTTGTTTTGGTAGATCTTTTGATGTACTTCCTCCGTCATATATCTTTCTTCCCGGTTCGCAAAACGAAGAAAAATTCCAAGTTTTTTCAATCTATTTTATTTAAATATTGGTATAGAAATAAACAAATAAAACATACATATTTAAAAACTACATCAAAAGTTCAACAAAACAAGTAGTGACAAGAATATTTTATTTTATCATATAGGCCATGAAAAAACACAAATAAATATAAATTCCCGTGAAGTTGGAATAGTGCTCTGGGAAGAAAGTTTTAGGACGGAGGGAGTAGTATTTTAATACGGAGTATGTAATTTTTATTTTTTAATTCTACATCATTTTTCATATAAAATAATTTGAGAATAACTTCAGTCAAACATAGTAAAACAAAACAGACAATATAAATGGGACGAAGGGAGTACTTTATAAGAGGTCATTTCTAGTGTATTTTTTATTTATTTGTAAAAGATAAAGAGCGGAGTTTTTTCTCTCTAAAGTTACGAGAAGTGGATCTCTTCGAATAAGATATGACAAGAATATTTTATTTTAACAAATGATTAACGAAAATGCAAACAAATAAAAATTATCGAAAGATCGTAATAGTAACTATAAAGTTTACTGAGGATGCATGTGAGAGTTTTTTCACAACCCTTACAATGACCTCTTAATTAAGAAAGAGAGAAAAAATGCGTGTAGCTCTAGTTTAGTCTGTGTTACATATTCTTCTATGCATATCCAACTTTTTATAAACAAATAGGAGTAGTTGGCATACCACAAAAACCTTTGTGCAATTTTATTAGTGATTGTACAATTCATAAAATTCTCAACCCAATCTTAGTTGACATTTCTTTGAGGTTTCTCATTCCATTGAAAAGATCATTTTGTTTCTTTTTTCCATTTCAAATTCATTAACTCCCTTACCATTACACCTCAATCCAACTATGACCACACTCTTTCACTACATGTCTCTCCTTCATCAACATCCTCATTCCCTTCACTTCTTTCCACTTCCTATAAAAGGCATAGGCATTAGACATTAGCACATAAACAAAATCGCTCTCGCCTTCCAATCCTATCACCTTTTCGGCTGCCATTTCTGCAACTTTTATATCCCCGCAAGCTACACAAGCTCCCAATAGGGCTCGCCAAACCATTGCGCAATTGTCAAGTCCCAAATCTCTTATCATCTTCTCCCCACCACCCACCTCCCCTTCTCTCCCCATGAGTCTTATCATGGACGAACAATGCTCGGCTGTGGGAGAAATCCCATACTGCTTAACCATTGACTCAAAGTACTGGCGCGCAGCTTCCAAAGGTTTTCTTCTGTCCCAACAAGCAGACAAGATGTTGAGGAAGGTGATTCCATCTGGGTGTAAATCTGTCTCCATTTTCATGCGTTCGAATAGACGAAACACCATGTGGGACTCGCCGTTATGAGCATAACCTGATATCATAGCGTTCCATGTCACCAAATTCTTTCTGGGTAGTGTCTCAAACAATACCTCGGCTCGATTCACTTTCCCACATTTGGAATACATGTCAACAAGAGCACTCCCAACAACTACACTCATATCCAACCCGTGCTTCACTGTGCAACAATGGATCAATCTCCCCCATGTAATGCCTGCAACATTTGCTGTTCCACTTAGAATGCTTGAAAATGTGAATTGGTCCATTCTAATGCCACTAATGTGCATTTTGCAGAAGCACTCTAGGGCTTGGTCTCCCTTGCTTCGATTCACGCACCATGTTATAATAGAATTCCACGAAGACGAGTTTGGGTTGGGTGTTTTTGATAAAAGATCAATCGCGTCTTCAATTTCACCGAACTGGGCAATTCCACTTATTAGTTCGTTATGTGTGATTGTATCAGGATTAGGCATCTGGTGTAGAAACGCGAAGGCCGTTTCAAGACTCTTATTTCGAACACTTGCTGCAATGACTGAATTCCAAGAAATTCTATCTTTATCCATCATACCATCAAACACCGTGATTGATCTTTGGGCACATCCACATTTTCCATACATGTCAATCAAAGAATTTCCGACAACAAGACTACACTCCACCCCATGTCTCACGATCTTGGAATGTATTGACTGCCCGAAATGGAGCAAGCTCAGCTGCCCGCAAGCCGATAAAGCAGCTGAAAACGTATAGGCATCTGCGCAAAGACCAGATCTTTCTAGCTGAATGAACAAGTTCAAAGCTTTAGTGGACTCCTTACACCGCACATACCCAGAAATCAGAGTATTCCAAGAAACAAGACTTGGTTCAGACACTTCAACAAACACTTTGCGTGCATCGCTGATTGCCTCAAGCTTCACATAGAAAAGGATCATGGCACTGGAAACATAGACATCGGAAGCATACCCATATTTCAGAACATGGCAATGGAGATGCTCGCCCTGCAAAAACCACCCAGAGTTGCCACATTCCCGGATCAAGTGCACCAGGGCGCGAGCAGCCGGCTTGAAATGGGAACCCGATTTGTGTGTTTCAGATTCAGCTCGGGCGTGATTTTTTTGAAGGGGAAAATTGGGCGCAGAGTTGCCGGTGTGGCTAATGTTCTTGGATATGCCATAGCTGTGCGGTTTTCTGTTTACCAGCTTAGCGAAAGAAACAGATTTTGATTTTCGCAAATATGGCATTTGGAGAAACTGTATTCTCCCATCTTAATTTTTTTCTCTCATTTCGTTCACTTTTACAAAAAAATTTTTGCAAGTGAAATTTTTAGGTGGGTTATTTAAAATTGGAAAATTAGAAATAACAATATCAACCACATGAAATTTTCTTTTAAGCAATGAAAAGAGAACTTCACCACGATTTAAAAATGAAATTGAAAAAAAAATAGGAAAGAGAGTACTAGAAGTTCTATGAAAGAATATGCTAAAATAGAGGATCATTTAATGACTTTAATCTCTACAATTGCACATGGCTCCAAAAACAAAATTATCCTAAACATAATTTTTACACATTATAAATTTAAGCTTTAAATTAGTTTCTCTATATCATATTTTACTTAATTTTTGTATTTTTTAAAATGTCATGTTTATGATATTGATATAAATATTGAAAATATTGGGGCATGGAGATTGATTTATTTTGTGAAAACTTCGATGCAAAGGGTCTAATATAACTTTTTGGTCGAAGAAGATTGGAAAAAACTAAAAAAGAAGTTTCAGAGTAATCTAATTCAACTCTACGATGAAATAGAAATTTTGATCACTCTTCTCAGAGGTCGAGTGGAATACCTAATTACTTATAGTCATCCATCTAACATGACATTCGAGCGACGTGTAATCTCCTCATTCAATTCGTATAGCAGTATATCACTATATTGTGGATATTTTCACTTCGAATCAAGACTTAAATAAAGGTCACTTCAAGATCACACAAAACATCTGACTTAAGGTGTTTAAAATCTTCTGATCTTTTCACTTGACTCTTTGTCTTTTCAAAATTGTCAGTCTTTTTGCATTATAAAAACCTATAAGATTAACATAACTTTAATTTAAATACTTATGTCAATGTGAATTCCAACATAAAGTATTCCAAGTAGGCCGACCAACTCAAAAAGAGTTTTCTAGCTACTTGGTCATCTTAGGCCCCGTTCCGTTCAACTTATTTTTTCTTATTTTTTCTTATTCTTATTAAAATCAGATCAGATCAGACCAGATCAGATCAGATCGAATCAGATCAGATCAGATCAGATCCGATCAGATCAGATCAGATCCAATCAGATCAGATCAGATCCAATCAGATCAGATCAGATCCAATCAGATCAGATCAGATCCAATCAAATCAGATCAGATCAGGACTTATTAAAATCAGATCTCATCAAGAATTATTATTATTATTATTATTATTATTATTATTATTATTATTATTATTATTATTATTATTATTATTATTATTATTATTATTACTATTATTATTATTATCATTGTTATTATTATTATTATTCGTATTATTATTATTATTATTGTTGTTGTTGTTTTTGTTCTTAAAAATGACAATGTCAATCTAATTCTACTTTTAAAATACGGAGTATATTTTTATTGCTACTTGTAATTTGAGTTTCTAACGTTTTGATCTTTTATAAGGATGAGATATTTTAATAAAAATACTATCTCTTCTATATATTGATTATCTAAATTTAATTACTTTTTAATGTATATCTAAATTAAATATTTATTATAATGTATAATTCTAATTTTACAAAAAAATTATCATAAAATAAAAAATGTTATTACATTATCATATGAATGATTATTCTAATATATGTATTAACTATTTTTATTTTATTAAAAAATCATCATTAAATAAAAAATATTGATTATATTATAATATGAATTATCATTACAATTTTCAACCGTTATTATAAAGTCAAATTAAATAATTAGTTTGAAATTTTAAATTAAATCATAATTAATCAGATCAGACCAGATCAGATCCAATCAGATCAGATCAGATCAGATCCAATCAGATCAGATCAGATCAGATCCAATCAGATCAGATCAGATCAGAACTTATTAGAATCAGATCAGATCAGAAAAAATAAGTTGAACGGAACAGAGCCTTAGTGTGGCGAGGGTGTGAAGCTAATCTAGGGATGACAACAGGTTGGGTTCAAGTCGGATAGTATTATATCCGAATCTGGCCAGACTTTTAAACTCAAAATACGGACTCGACTTTAAAACTTGAAACCCAAACTGATTTCAACCCGATTTTTAAATCCATATTCGAACTCGCAATTTAACCAATGACGAATTTTAAACCACACTTTCATATTAACAAAACATCCGACTGAAACCTGACCAAAATTTTGACCCATTAAATTACTACATTTACATGTACACAAATGAGAGAATATAAAATATTATACTTAGTACTCCGTAGAGAAAAAAATAAAATAGGTTAGACAAAAGGTCATGCATGATTAACAAGATACACGAAGTACAAAAAGATCAGTTAGGGAGTAGCAAGATGTGAGCAAGAAAGAGAGATGCGGCTGAGTGTTTGAAAAGAATGAGAAGTGAAGAAATGAGAGAATATATACTCCGTATTAAACTATATGCATAGAGGCATACATAGGGCTTTTTGGTTTTAAATAATCGCGTTTGGGTCGGGTAAGATCGGGTCAGTTCAAATTGGTTCAGGTAAACTCTTGAACCCGAACCCGATCAGACTAGTGTCGGATTCGATTTTCGTGACGGGTTTGAATTTTAATATTTTTCAGTTCAAATTCGAATATTTTAGCATTCGATCAGGTCGGTTATGGTTGGGTTCGGGTTGAATTGTCATGCAAGTTTATCTAAGATGTGCAAAGTGTCTTGGCCTTTGGGTCGGTCCTCTTTTTGTGCCGCCCGTATAGTGGGCCTTTCACTCAACATAAGCCCAATCCTAAGTTCTCAAAGGGTATGTGGCAAGTGGGATGCAGAAGTAAATGGGTCGCCGATTCAATGTAGGTCTTTTTTCTATTCTATGGACTATCTCGATTGGGTCTCTATATTGGGCCGAGTAGATTTTCTTGGACTGGATTTGATGGTGGGCACACTATGGACGTGCCCGATATGACATATCGCTTGATAAAATAATTTGTTTTCTTAATTTGTTACTCCGGGGTATTTTGTAAACTTTATTATGTAATTTTTAAATATCAAAGTTTAATTTTTATTTTAGACCAATTTATAAATAAAATAAATTTAATACATAACATTTTGAATCGTAATTCTAACAATGCAATATATTTAGGCACGGAGAGAGAAAATTTAAAAATACAAAACCTCCCTTCAAAAAATCCACTTAAAAGAAAAGGATTATTAAAGATAGAGTAAATTCCATAATTGGTCCTTTATAACAGGGGGGTTTCCATATTTAGTCCTCTATTATCAAATATTACCCCCGTAGTCCTTTTTTTAAGGGTACCTTTCCATAAATGGTCCTTTTTTTGATCTTCTGCCGTGTTGGTGTTAATTTAAAGGCTAAAAATATATTTTGACATCAACATTATGTCTAGTGACGTGTTCTGATATTGGTTAAGCGGATAACACAAAAATAATGACTATGATTGTGGACTAGGATTCTGACGAAAGATCACATTTGTAGACTATAGTTGTCGTAAAAAGCGGCTGGAATTCACAAACGACGCAAATGGAAGAGCCTTTGGAATTGTGTATGACAAAAGAGATATATTATTATTGTGAAATTACACTTTTAGCCCTCAAATTAACACCAACATGATAGAAGATCAAAAAAAGGACTATTTGTGGAAAGGTACCTATAAAAAAAGGACCACATGGGTAATATTTGATAATAGAGGACTAAATAGGGAAACCCCCCTGTTATAAAGGACCAATTATAGAATTTACTCTTAAAGATATGTGTAATTTGAGTGTTAAATTCTTATTTTGATACATTAATAATAAATAAATATGATGTAATAAGTAGATTGATAAAAAAATTACCCAAAATAAGAGCATAACATAGTTATTCTCCTCAAAATAGGAATAACATATTTTTATCTTTAAAATTGGACTATTATATTGTGACAATGTTGTATATAAATATTTTCACAGTATTTTTTGATATTACATATTGATATTATTGGAATTATAAGTCTTATTTTGGATATCAAAAATAAATGTTTTAGTTTGATTCTTTTTCATTGTTTCACTTCTATTCTAGTTTTTCTACCATTTATAATTAATCAGGTAAAGAGGTCATTTTATTTGAAAGAGGAAGTATTGTTTTGGGACGAATGAAAAAAAATATTTTTTTGGACGGAGAGAGTAATACGTACTCCCTCCGTATTAAAATGGTAAATTCTGACGCCATCCTAAAGTTCTTGTTCACTTTATGAAACTTGGTGATTTGATATCATAAAAAAATTGAACATTTTATAAAAAAGAAAAGATTCACTTGACAACTCATGAAACTGTGAGACGTTCTCCTAAAATTATGCTCCCTATTAATATTCACATAGTAAAATTTTATTTTTTATTTTTTTGCTTATTTTTATTAATTATTAGATAAAATAAAATAATCATGTTATCTCAAGTTTTGTAAAATCTTTTGGTGCAGTTATTAAATATATAAATTTTATTTTTTAAATCATATAACTATCATCAAATAAATTGAATTGAAAATAAAGATTGTCATATCTCGTAAACCGAAACGGGGACTTAACTTTAGGATGGAGACCGTATTTATTTCAACTTCTAAAATTCTTTCCGCACTTTTCATTTCTTTCCAGCTTCTTCTAATTTATTTCAACTCTTTCTACTTTCTGTTACTTCATTCCAGTTTCTTTTGAAAAATATTTAGTTATTTCTAAAGCTCTCCAATTTTTTTAAAAACATTTTTCATTTTCTATATATTTCTTCCAATATTGAACCCTATCTTTCTAATTCAAGCCTTAATAGCATTTGATTTTCTAATCAAAACTAAAAACTGACACTAGTGACAAAGAGTGCCTTTTATTCCCCCGCCCAAAAATTATCTTTCCGTTTGCGTGATTGAAGTTATTTTAAAATCATTTTATTTGAAAAATAGTGTAGAATTAAAAAATAAAAATTACATACTTAAAAATGACATCAAAAATCTACAAAATTAGATGTGTCATGATTGTATTATTTTATTCAATGACCTACAAAAATAGAACAACAAAATAAATAAAATTTGATCTAGAAGATAATTTTTAGAAGTAATATAAGTAATTGTAGAAAAGAGTGGCTTTGATGTCTCTCTACGAGTGAATGAGAAGTGAGAAAAGTGGGGCATAATATATTCTGCAACTCACTCATCCCTGCAAAATCAGTTGAGCAAAAAAACGCCCAAAAATGGCGGAAAAAAAACACTAATATGATTGCGACACGTGTACATTCGTTCTCCCGTTTTCTGTCCGTACGTACCCAACTTCCACCTCCTCCCTCCGCCCGCACATTCCCTTACTTTGTCTTTTCCGACGTCGTACTATTTGGACCCATCCGATTTTACCCTTTTGCCCTCATCCCCTTCTCCTTCTTCCTTTCCTCCGTCCCCTGTATATATATATCACAGAAGCCGCCTTTGGCTCAGCAATTATTGATCAAAATCTCGTTTTTGTTTTCTTGTTTTTTCGTTTTAATTTTGAATTTTGAATTTGAAGCTTTTCTTGTTTCGTAGCAATGGCGGAACGGAACGAGGCAAACGGTCATGGGGTGGTCGTCTATGACTTCTGGAACGACGCCGTTGTCCAGTCGGACTCCTCTGTTTCCATGGGTTTTCCGGCGGGCGGGTCGTCTTCGTCGGAATCGCTGTTTTTCTGCGACGGCGATGGCTCCGCCGGGAAGGGGGAGGCCGGGAGAGTGCCGCCCCTGAATAGCCGCCGTGGATCTGGTGCTAGAAACTCTGCTTCCGGCGGCAGAGTGTTCCCCTGCCTCTACTGCCCCCGCACGTTCTGCACCTCCCAGGCTCTCGGCGGCCACCAGAACGCCCACCGGCGCGAGAGAGCCGCCGCCGGCCGCCGTCGAGCGCTCTGTCCCTCCGCCGCCGTGAACCAGTACTGCAGTCCGAATATCACTCCCGAGCAGCTTCCCTCTTCCGCCACCGCGGGCTATTACTGCTTCCAACCTCCCATGCTCCTCCAGCACCCGCCCGCCGGCGGCGCCGGCGGGTTCCTCCCAATGGACGGCGGGCACCACTTCTTCGCTTCCGGCCCATCTCAATCGGCCTTCTGCGATCTTCTGGCCGACGGCGAAGTCGTCTTTCTGAGCAATAATTGTTCCGGGTCGTCGCCGCCGCCCCTGTCATCATTGGAGACTCTCTCCCGCCCCAGCGCCGCCGCCACTCCATCTCCGCCGCAGCATCTCGATGACTTCAGCATTGACCTCTCCCTTCATCTCTAGACCAGAGATTATTACGAGTAATAAAAACAATTTTGCTCTTCTTTTTTCCGTAATTAAATGTCATTTTCTTAGATGGATTGATTAATTATTGGTTAATTTCATCATATGTAGCCTAAGCTCGGCATATTATTAATGCTAATTATCAAAATGTGTTCGTCCTTCTTCATATATTCCGTAATTAATTATTTTAATTTGCAAACATTTATTTAAATTAATGTTTTTGTCCGGTATAAAATTCTGTTACTCTTATCCTGCTGTCACTCCGGGCAGTACATAACTAACAACATATACCCTGCAGTAGGATTTACATGAGTTGATGAGCTTTAATCAATTAATTAACAGATATCTCAAGTTTAATATCAAACTTATACCACTTTCAAGTGGGTATTTATAAATATAAATATCGATATTGCTTTGTGTGTATAAATATTTACTCCAAATTTAATTTCTTCGTCAATAAGGGTGAAAAGAGTAACACTTGGGCTTGATTCTTGATTATGGCGAAGAAAGACAACGTTCATACGGTATGAGACTGAGATCCTTGCATTTATGAGAGACAAATCTCGTTCTTATTGATCAGTCTAAGATTAAAACATAATTTACTTTCTTGTAAGCTACAGCTCAGGGCCTCAGGTCGGGCAATTGGGACCTATATGAGATTAATCCTTTTTTTCAAATACTCAACAATACATTGGTGTCAAAATTTGTGAGGCCTAATAATTCTCGTGCCCCACGTGGTTTGAAAAATATGCACTAAGCTAATATTACTCTTTTTTTCAAAATTTATTTCTAAAATCCTTCTAGTTCAAAAGCTTGCACGTATACCCCCACCAATGACTTTTACACGCTTTATTATTCATGGTTACGTGTGCGTTTAGAACTATGATAGAGCTAGGTTGCATCAGTGCATTTTTAAACTACGGGGTCACCGGGGCTATTAGGTTATTTTTTATAATTTTATAGTTACAAAATACCCAGCTTTTTTACTTTGGAGGTATCCTAACTCTGAGTATTGTTGCAAAAAGGTATCTCATCTTCAACTTATAGCTACAAAAAACAACTTTAAAGATTCAATCAGATCAGGTGTACGAACATAGCCTTAGACCCCATCTTTTACTCCCTTAATCCCCCTTTTTTTTTTTTTGAAATCCTTGGGGTATACCAAAATTTTAGCAAACTTTGTGAATCAAGGCTCTCTTCCTTTCAGTATTAACTCTTAACATTTAAATTTTTCCATTTTCATTCCAACTCTTTCTGGTTTCTTCTAATTTCAACCAATTTTTTCTAACTCTTTTTAGTATCTTCAAATTTTTTTCACTTTCTTCCAATTCTTTGAGTTTCTTACAACTCCTAGTTTCTTTCAACATCTAATTCTGTTTTTACAACTGAAACGAATAAAGCCTAAATGTATATGGATATGAGGCGCACACACAAACAACAAATGCCTATACACCACATAGATAATTGTGTTGGCCATGTGTGCAGCAATTGTCCCGTGCGGAGGCTATGTGGGCCAAGTCACAGTCGAATGTCGTGGGCGCTTATGTGTTGAATGCACTATAAGGCTAGAGTATGCGCTTCTTCTAACACCAATTGGTTTTAGAAGAGTTAGTAGCGCCTGAGGTCCTACAAGTGGTATCGGAGCCAAGGTCACGAGTTCGATTCCCAGCGGGAGCAATTGCTGAGGGGGAGATTGTTGGCCATGTGTGCAGCAATTGTCCCGTGGCGGAGGCTATGTGGGCCAAGTCACAGTCGAATGTAGTGGGCGCTTGTGTGTTGAATGCACTATAAGGTTAGAGTATGCGCTTCTTCTAACACCAATTGGTTTTAGAAGAGTTGGTAGCGCCTGAGGTCCTACAAGTTGTTGTCTATGTGTATTTGTTACAAATTTGGTGTAAAAAGTGGGATACAATCTTAGTATACCCCTAGCATATCTTACTTTTTCCATTTCTAGCACTTCATAATTAAAATTACACATTTTCTTTAAATAAATACTCCCTCCGTCCCCAATTTAATTACAAATTGTGAGTTACGGAGTAAATTTTTCTACTTTTTGAAATCATTTTATTTACAAATTGGTATATCAATAAGATATAAAAATTACATATTATAGTAAAATACTATGTCAAAAGTTCTACAAAACAAGAGGCGACAAAAATATTTTATTTTATCAAATACTTAATGAAATTGCGTAAACAAGCAAAAGTTATCGAAAGGAGAGAAAAAAAATTGTAATCTATTTAGGGACAGAGGGATTTAGGGACAGAGGGAGTATGTGATTTACATTATTTGCCTCTCTTATAAACATATTCTAATAATAACTCACTTTTTTAGTTTTAAACTTTTTTACTTGAACTCTATGGATTCGAGGAGTTTTTAATTTAGAGATGAAGATAGTTTATTTCATGTTCTGGATTATTTAATTTATAATAATGTACGATGTTTATACTTCTTCCATTTCCATGCACATTACAATTTCTCTTTTATTTTTGTACTCCCTTTGTCATACTCTCCCCCTTTATATCTTTCTTTGAAGTTGATTTTGACAGAATTTTTTTTAAAACTTTGACCATAAATTATAAAAAAATATGTAGACTTGTCATGAAAAGTTAAAATCAATATATTTGGTTTGAAAAATATAGAGACTTGAAAGTCAATGTGAGAATTCAAATAGTGACACAGGAAACGTGTTTAATTTAACACTGTGTGTTGACATTTCATAATATTCTGTATTTTTGACATTACATTGACTTTATTTAGCATTATAAGGTTGTGTTCTGTTCGCCTTCGCCTAATCTGATCTAATTTTTTGAAGATCTGGTTTGATTTGATCTAATTAGATCTGATATGATCTGATCTGATTGGATCTGATCAATACTAAAATTAAAATATTTATAACAATAGTTATAATAATAGAAATATTAATAATTTTAGTAATAATAATAATACTAATAGTAATAATAATAGTAATAATAATAGTAATAATAATCACAGCTATAAAAATAATACTAATAATAATAGTAGTAATAATAATAATAATAGAAATAATAATAATAATAATAATGACGACGATGATGATGATAATAATAATAATAATAATAATAATAATAATAATAATAATAATAATAACAACAACAACAACAATAATAGAGATAGTAAAAAATAATATTAGTAACAAGGATATTAATCTTAATAATAATAGTAATAATAATATTAGTAGTACTAGTAATAATAATAACAATAGTAATAATTATTATCGTCATAATAATAATAGTAGTAGTAATAATAATAGTAATAGTAATAATAATAATAGTAATAATAATAATAGTAATAATAATAGTAACAACAATAATATTATTAATATTAATAGTAATAATAATAATAATAATAAAAATAGTAATAATAATTATAATCATAATATTAATAGTAATCGTAATAATAATACTAATAATAGTGGTAAGAATAGTAATAGTAATAATAATAATAATCTTAATTTTGTTTACATTTGTTCTGATCTGATTTGACCTGGTCTGATCTGATCTGGCGTGATCTGATCTGATCTGATCTGATCTGATATGATTTGATTAGATCTAATCTGATTGGATCTGATCTGGTCTGATCTGATATGATATGATTTTAATAAAAATCCGTAATACGCAGAAAAAATAAGTTGAACGTAACACTGCCTAAGTCTTATTTTGGTATAAAAATACTAAAAGTTTGATTTTAATATATGGAGCATGTTTTAGTCCTAATAAAGTATTAATCTTTTAATTTTTTTTCATCCATCGAAATTAACCTGCTCACTTTTTAATTATTTTTAAGAAAAAGAATAAATGACTTACAATAATTTTCTTGACATTTGAATAACTTTTTCTTACATATTTTTTATATTTAGTTTTCATTTTTTGAGTAGGAGTATTTTTTGATTGCCTATGGCCAAGTTTGCTTATATACTTGTGCCTAATAAGAAGGGCTTATTAGTTGTGTGGGTCATAACAAGTGGCAAATCAATGACACTATAGAAGCATAAGGGTGGAAAGAAAGTAGTTTGTACATGAGCCACACATATATATCACTCTTATATATCAACCCTCACACTTGTCACACACCTCCTCTCTCACTCCTTTAATTTCAATCTTTTTTTCCTCTTTACACTCTACTCTCTAATCAGCCAACATATACTACAAATAAGGACTACCCAAACTCATTTTGCACGTTCACTCACCTCTTACTAACTAACTAATTCTCTCTTTCTACTTTTGCCTATATATACACCTCACCACACACACCCAACACTCAACTCAAAATCGACTCCAAACGAATTCGAGTTATACACACTTATATTAATTATCACCACCAAGAACAAATTTAAGCTCGTGTAATGGTGATGGTAGATGACAATAATCAGAAGCACGAATTGTCGTCTTGCATGTCAAGTGCACCGATGCACTATTGTAAGGTGTGCATGAGAGGGTTCAATTGCGTAGGAGCCCTCGGCGGGCACCTGAGGTCCCACACTTTGGGAGATCATGGCGGTGACAAAAATTATCGTGATGATCAAGAATACCTCATGGTGGGTGACACCAGCAATGATAGACCACTTTTTCAAGGACAGAAGCACTCATACTTTTTACGCGCCAACACCAATCGCTTTATTATCAACAATACCCGAGGAATTAGAGACCATGATCACGACGAGGGGGGCAAAGACAACAACGGCGTTGGATCGAATGGAAGCACATCAATGTTATTCCCATCGTTATCAAATCAATATAGTCAGTCTTGCACGTCAAGAGAAGAAGATCTAGCGAATTGTCTCATGATGTTGTCATCCCCGACGTCATTCCAATTTGTTTCATCCGCGAGTAACGATAACAAAAGAAACACTGTGGAGACAAACAACGACGACAACAACAACAACATTAGAGGTTCGTTCCCATGCAAGGCATGCAATAGAGTGTTCAATTCCCACCAAGCATTGGGTGGACATAGAGCAAGCCACAAAAAGGTCAAAGGTTGCTACGCAACCAAGCTCGCCGACGTCGGTAATTATTCCTCGGACGAATTACTAGACTCCGATTATACTCTCCCCTCGCCACTGCCCACAACCACCATTGCACCCTCCAGAAAGCGGCCAAGGGTGCACGAGTGTTCCATCTGCCATCGAGTTTTCAACTCGGGGCAGGCGCTGGGGGGCCACAAGCGGTGCCACTGGCTGGCAGCGAC